GAGGAGATTGACTTGCCTGCAGCCCCACGCTTCTCGGAGACTTCACTTTAGCGATGGTGTAGTTTTATATGAATTGCCAAAATTGGAGAGTGAGTATTTTCAAAATGGAATGGTGAAATGATGTTGAGAATCCACTGCTTATTGGAAGGAAAGGCCTGGGGACATGGAGTGTCACATGGCCCCCGTAACCGGAACAGGGGAAAGCCGGAGCCGTTCTTACCGGTGAATGTTTGAGAACAGCTTCATCCTCACAGACCTTCTGTGTGACTAAATATGTGGTTAATTTCATTAATAGGAAGGAACTTTCATTAAGCCTGCAAGCTCTCGAACTTTCTTTCCAGAGAGTTGAAGCAGTCACCAGAGAGTTGTGGTCAGGGCTTTCAAAGCCATCTATCTAGCTGGGCTTTCACAAATACTTATTAACATATACTTTTACTTCTTAAAACACTTATTTACCAGTTTTTCCATCAGTCATAAAAACCACAAAGAGGCTTTCTTTTTATGCAATTACTGCTGTCCTATGTTTTCTGCTTTATTTTTGTGTTTTTAAATTGCAGAGGGAGGCAGGAGAAAGGCCAAGTTGCTTGAAATATAGTTTTAATGTTGCTAGTAGAATTGTACATATTTTGGAATTTTACACAGGCTGAAGCCCCCTGAAGTGAATGATGATAAATTCACCTACAACTTATACATCTTAAAAGTACTTCCATTTGGCTCTGTGGAGATGGTTCAGTCAGATCCTTCCCTTGGAAGCAAGAGGACCTGAGTTTGATCCCCCAAGCCCACATTTAAAAAAAAAGCCCTTCATAGTAGATGTGCTTATAATTTCATTGCTGGGGATGTGGAGGCAGGCGGGTCCCTGGGGCTCACTGGCCAGTCAGCCAAGCCTCCTCAGTGAATTCAAGGCCAGTCACATATCCTGTCTCACCAAAGGGTGAATGGAGCCAAGGGATGACACCAGAAGTTGTCCTCTGACCTCCACACCCAGTATACAGATGATCACACACACACACACACACACACACACACACACACACACACACACACACACATTTATTTCCATTTGTGTTCTGTCAGACTCACTGAGGAGAACCCTAACTCGATTCCCTCTGTCAGGTGCCTTCTCTTCTTTCATTTGAATTTCTGTTTGGCCCAAATACTTCGCTCGTCTTCCCCAGTGCCCTGGCTCCATCTGGTGTCTCTATGGACCACACAGGCGGTAGAGGACAGAAGCAGGAGACAGGATTCTGCTGTGGCTCTGCACCCCAGCACTGGCATTGGGTGCTTATGCCACTGGTTAATGCCGTCTTAGTGGACGGATTTCACCAGAGCCCAGAAAGCAGAGGCGTCACTGAGAAACCCGAGGGTTGGTAGCCCGAGCTGCTAGGTACCCGCGCTCTTGATGGAACTGTCTCCAGCTGGTAGATGTGCGTGGCTGGGCCACGGGCATTGTCAGCACATACTGGTAAGTTCCTGCAGGCTGCCTGGGCTCTGCCTTTCCTCGTTTTCCCCTCTTCAACTTTGCCATCTCCCCTTCAACCACAGGTTTCTTTGAGGCCTTCTCTTCGTGTTCCCTGACATTGCCTCATTCATCACTTCTTACTGAGATCAATCTACAGTTGCCAGATAAAATAGTGATAGACTATTGTTATTGTGTGTGTGTGTGTGTGTGTGTGTGTGTGTGTGTGTGTGTGTGTGTGTACGCCAGAGGCTGGTGTCAGGTGTCTT